GAATTCCCAAACTGTTGAATGAAGGAAATGATAATATAGCACCTTTCACTTGAGGATCACAGAATGCCTTAAAAGGTGGGGAAAGTACTATATGGCCATAAAGTAGCTTTTGTCAGTTAGTGAAACATCCGTTTTGTTTCACATTGAGTGAACTAAAAGGTCCAACCTGGAAAAAATGTACTTTTAGTACTGCCCTCTATAGTTTGTTAATCAGCAGTGAAGTGATAGCATTTCAAATGATGGCACTTGGAAGAAGACTGTTTTATTCTGCCATCTGAAAGAGGTTGCAGGGGAGTCCAGCAGTGATGCAGTTAATTCAAAGGCTGATAGCGTCTGAGAGAATCCCACAAAAACAAATAGATTCATGTAACTCCAACAACATGCACCAATGACACTCACTGTAAGGTTTAGGAATAAATAAAGTTGTGTTCTCCCACTCTCTTGCTGATAGCACAAATGACCAGCTGTGTTTATATGTAGTACTTGCACGAAGTTCCACATTTGTGAAGGCTGATTTTAATTACTCAGTTTTAGGATCATGTATGGAAGGACTGATCTCATGAAGCTGGAATAGAAAGCACGTTGTTCAAAACATCTATTAAGCAGATACAAAATTCAGTATCATATTCATATTAAATGCACATATACTGCTTCCAGTATGGCTGGTTAAAAACAATTTTCAGTTGAAAAGCTGTTTTTCAACAGAAAATTGGGATTTTAACTAAATGAACATTTTCACAGCTAGTGTCTGCTTTCATGGAAACTTTTGACTTTACATTGAAAAAAATGAAAATCTCAGCACATGTGGTTTTTTGTTTTGTTTGTTTGGGGACAAAAGTGTTTGTTTATTTTTGTTTTCATCAGTATTTTCTGCAGTTCTAGTAGGGTAGATATGTATTTTGTTAAGGAATAAAACACTCCGTGAAGACTTTCTATAGTTAATAATCACAACTTTGAAATCTTTTTTCTTCCCCTGCCTCCCCCTCCCCCAACAAAAACATGTACGGTCTCCATGAATATCAGCAGCATAAAATTGTGGGGGGAAATGTGAAGTTAATATCCAAATCAAATCTCAAGATAGAAAGATCAGTTAATCAAATGTAAAGTTCTGAACAGTTTAAAAGCACAAAGCTGTGATGGACAGTGAAAAAGAAGTGTCAAACCACTTGTAAGAGTTGAAAAAAGTATCTTGTGCTTAGTTTAGCTGTTGAACATTCCAATTTACATAATCTGTTTTTTGCTAAAATAATCCACAGAAGCACACGTTAGGTGAGTGAATTTCTAAGCCTTATCAAAGTACATCTGCACAGATTTTATAGAGTTGAATGGTCCCAGCCTGTTGAACTGGGTCCAAAATGAATGAAGAGTCAGGGTTTTTCCACCTTCTACAAATAACTGACCTATCAACCAGTAGCAAAAGTTGAATTAGCATCCAATTATCTCTGTTACATTCCTCAGAGAGTTCAAATATTCCAAGATACAAAATTCCAGAGTGCTTGGCACTGAAAAGCTGGGGAATTTTTTTTCCCCAATGTGATATATAACCAAGGATCTCTGTTGAAAGAATTTCAGGCAGGACCAGAGTACAGGAAGCAAGGTTCCTTATGGAATACAGTGTATCCAACATCTGTAGTAGAAGTGACTTGCTATCCTGCTCACTTTACTGGTGTCTGATACTGTACCATGAATTACAATTCCCTATTGCAGCTCTAACTAATGCTATTGAAAAAGAATAAAGACATGATGGTGCCCACAACTTTGATTTGAAAAGCTGTGACAGCTTCATTTCCCATTTAATCATGAATTTTCATTTAAGAAGAAAAAGAGTACTTGTGGCACCTTAGAGACTAACAAATTTATTTGAGCATAAGCTTTCGTGAGCTACAGCTCACTTCATCGGATACATGAAAGCTTATGCTCAAATAAATTTGTTAGTCTCTAAGGTGCCACAAGTACTCCTTTTCTTTTTGCGGATACAGACTAACACGGCAGCTACTCTGAAGCCTTTAAGAAGAGACATTGCTTCGTATACTTTTCTCACAACCTTCTGAGGTTCATTACCTAAAACCAGGGTTTGTTCAGAAGGAAAAGTCTCACTAGTACTAGCAACCTTTAAAGTGTTTTGGACTATGCCTCTCAAATGTTTTGGGGGTGAAATTCTGGTTCCAGGATTTCAGCCCTCGTCTTTTGCCCATCCCGTCTGTCTACCTCTCTTTTCTTCTTTAATTTTTCATCTCTAGGAGTAAGTTTTCCATTACTTCCTCCATCAGAACTTCCTGTGGAAGAATAGACTGACTGCTGGCTTGCCCCCTTGTGGCTGGATTTGGTGTAGCAGTTCTGTGTTCTCTAGTGCCCCCGCCGACCATCGCTCCAGTCCTGCGGTGGTCTCTTGTCTTGTGACTTGGCCCTCTGGCCAGGTCATATTTAAGTCCCCACCTTCCAGGGTAATGGAAAGTCAAATAAACAAAAGTCCAACAAATAATTCCCAGACCTTCTGTCAGGTGACTCTGGACTCAGTCGTCACATCCTTCCTCTAGGCTTGGAATTGTCCTTCTCTCCTTATGTCAGGTGGCTTTACACCACTTTACACCCCATCACACCTGCCCTGTGTTCTTCACTTTCTCTATTCCTCTCCATATGCAGCACTCTCCATTTTTTACCTCTAGGCACTTCTGTATAGATCTGGTTGGAAAATTGAAAAATGCAGTTTCAGCAATTTTTTGTAGGAAAGGTCAGTTTTGACAAATTTCTTGACACAATTTTTAAAAAAGGTTTCAGAAGTGTTGAAACATACCATTTTAACATTTTTTGAATCAAAATGTTTGGTTTTCTCATTCAAACATAAAAATATGTTGAAATTATTGAAATGAAACTTTTCAATTGACCTGAACCAATTTTGCCCTCTGGATTTTTGGTTCATGAACATTTTTGAAATGTTGACTTTTCATCTTAATTCAGAATGGGAAACATTTCCAAAATTCTGAAAATGTTTCATGAGATTGGAGAATTGTTTCCCGCCCAGCTCTAGTTCTGTACTCTCCTTCCTTCCTTCCTTCCTCAATCACTCAATCCTACTGTACCCCACATTCTCCCCTTTGTCTCTCCAAAATTCAGTCTTCCATGCACGTACTGTGAACTGCCATGCAGGGAGAGGGAGCTGACAGGGCCATGACAGTTCTTTCCGCATGGAATGGTGGGCAAGCTAAGGGGGGCAAACTAAGGGAAGCATGTCTCCTCTTCTGTCCTTCTCTGCCTTTAGAGTGGGAGGGAAAGGGAGGGGAGAGGGAGGCAGGTGAGGGAACAGATCTTAATATAGAGGAGACAAGATAAGGGACATCTCTACTTCACTGTATGCTGCTGCTGCTTCCCATGCTGGTAGGAACGATGGGAGCCCCAGGAACTTCAATTGCTCCCACTTCAGGCAGGAGACTGGTGAGTTCCCATTTCAGCAGCTAGTTAGGATAGGTTATTTATACTTTCCCCAAGCCAGAGAAGGGGACAGGAGACAGAGCTCTCCTGCTTTTAGCAGGGGAGGGGGAGCTGTACTTCTTTGTACTACCTCTTCTTTCAGAGAGACACTGACTGGCATTTTTAAAATGAGTCAGTTTAAAAAAAAAAAAATCAAGCTGGCAACATCCCTTTAATGTTCTGCATGCAAATGCCTCATTATTTGTCTGTGACATTAACCTCTTCCCACTGATTTTATCATCTGCCTGTTTTCCGTTGAATAGAACTCTTTTATAAAATGCCTGTACATATATTTATGATTGATTCCTGGATTATATTTCTAATGAGCTGAAACTGTGGTGTCTATCTAGGAATGAGAATAAGGTTTTTGAAATTGTAACCTTGGGGTGGATTTTCAGTTAATACTGACTGCGTTGAGTCCATGTTTAATAACTGCCCCCTGAAAAGTTGTTGTATTTTAAGAATGGACAGGAACTTCTTGTGTTCAAAGATAGCTTGGGGTTCACACTCTTTTCAGCAGGACTAGCCAAAGAGTGACCCCGCAGGCCAAATGCAGGTCACTGTGTTCTACAGCCAGGGCATTGGTGTCCTTATCTTCGATATAGAGGTATGACTCACAGAGATGTAGGCCCTAGCATGCCATGATCTCCTTGATCCAGCTGAAAGGCCACTTCGTGAAAGGCAGTTGCTATCTGCTCTCGATTATGCTAATTAAAGCCCCAGCCCTGCAATCGGATCCACACAGTTGACGTTTGCACTTGTGTGAGGCCCCATGGATTTTCTTGGGGTTCTGTGTAGGTGCATAGTTCTGCCTGTGTGAATCCAACAGCAGGAGTGGGGCCTAAATATTGTTCTTGGCAATGGCCAGTGTGACCCTCCAAAGTTTGGGTGTCCCTGCTTTACTGTCTACTTAAGACCAAATCCTGCTCATAGACTGCAGTGGAGTTACTCCAGCTTCCCAGCTGTGTAACTGAAAGCAGAATTTGGTCAATAGTGTCTAAAAAGTCTAATTTGTACATGTTTAGGTATAAGTATGCGATCCAAATAATGAAATAGTCATGCAAAAATACTTTACAATTTGTGTAAGTTAATTAAGTATTTCAGCAAATTACACAGGTGAAGTTAATGAATTTTTACTGAGGGTTACATATTTTTTAAGGTGAAGGTCAAATTCAGTCTTATCATGTATTAATTTAAGTTTTATCTTTGAAAGAAATATTTGTTTGCGAGGAGTCGCCAGTTTGACTACATATGGCTACTTCACACTGTAGAATTCAAAACGTTGTCTGTCATCAGCAGGGGTCTAACAGATTTAACTTCCAAAATTCTTAGTTATACAGTAGTTGTTCCAGAGCTAGCTCAAATACTGGCATTATATGTCTTGCGCTTCCAGCCACGTTGGGAATTGAGTCATGTTTCTATATATTAGATATACATATATAGGTATAATTATTTAGCAAGTTGATATCATTCCGAGATGAAATGCCAGCATCACTCAAATGTAATTAGACTTATTTTTCTGGTTCATTTAGATTGGAAGATTGGTTATTGGCCAGAATGGCATCTTATCCACACCTGCTGTTTCATGTATTATCCGAAAGATCAAAGCAGCTGGCGGAATTATTCTAACAGCTAGTCACAGTCCTGGAGGACCTGGAGGAGAATTTGGAGTCAAGTTTAATGTTTCCAATGGAGGTAGGTGTTTTTATAACACATTACATCACTGTATCTCAGAAAGGTAGAAATACCTTGTGTGATGGGGCAAGGCCAGATGGCTATAGAAAAGTAGTGAGAGAGAGATCTATTAGCTCCAGGCTAAACAAATCCCTAGTACCAGGATAAGTGAAATGGCAGCTGCTCCAGGTCAATTAAGACACCTGGGGCCAATTAAGAACTTTCCAGAAGGCAGGGAGAAGGCTAGGTTGATTGGGACACCTGAAGCCAATCGGGCTGGCTGAAACTAGTTAAAAGCCTCCTAGTTAGTCAGGTGGGTATGCATGTCAGGAGCTGTGGGAGGAAGTTGCACTGTTGGAGAGGCTGAGTAGTACACACCATATCAGGCACAAGGAAGGAGGCCCTGAGGTAAAGGTGAAGTGGATTTGAGGAAGTGAGGGCTGCTATGGGGGAAGTAGCCCAGGGAATTGTACATGTTTCAAAAAGGTCAGTTACCATAGCTGATATTATTAGGGTCCCTGGGCTGGAGCCCGGAGTAGAGGGTGGGTCCGGGCTCCCCCCCCCCCGGCCACCTTTGTCCCCTGATTAATCACCGAGACTGGGAGATAACAGAGACTGTGCAAGGAAGGATAACTTCTCCTCACCTCCCTCGCTGGCTTATGATGAAAATGGCTCAGTAGACTGTGACCCTTGTCTCTAGAGAGAGAAGGGTTACATGCAGGGTCACAGTGAGCCTCTGAGGCTAGCAAAATCCACCAGGAAACGCGGGACCCACGGAGGCAAGGACAGAGCTTTGATAAGGATAGCCAGATTGTTATAACTATTTGTTTTCCTGTTATATGGATTTTTCAGTGTTAGTAGAATGCTAAATAGTTTTCAATATTAGGAGAGGTTTTGTGTATATATATTTTTATATGAAAAAAAAATCTAATATGTCCTGAACCTACACCTCTCAGTTAGTTCAGCTCCCTCTGAAGTCAATACGTGTTCTATGTACAGAAGGGCTGCTGGATTTGTCATCCTGTTTTTTAGACTGTACTTAGTCTGTCAGTGGATGTATGATAGGCCTGCCAAATTCATGGCTATGAAAAATGTGTCACGGACCGTGAAATCTGGTATCCCCCGTAAAATCTGTATAATATATGGTAAAAGCACACAAAAGACCAAATTTCACAGGGGAGACCAGTGTTTCTCAAATTGGGGGTCCTGACCCAAAAGGGAGTTGCAAGGTGTCTCAAGGTTATTTTAGGGGGGTTGCAATATTGCTACCATTACTGCTGTGCTGCCTTCGGAGCTGGGCAGCTTGAGAGCAGCAGCTGTTGGTCTGGCGCCCCACTCTGAAGGCAGTGCCCTGCCAGCAGCAGAGCAGAAGTAAGGGTGGCAATACCATACCATGCCACCCTTACTTCTGCGCTGCTGCCTTCAGAGCTGGGCATCCGGAAAGTAGCAGCTGTTGACTGAGGGCCCAGATCTGCAGGCAGCAGCGCGGAAGTAAGGGTGGCAATACCATACCATGCTATCCTTACCTCTGTGCTGCCTCTGGAAGTGGTGCTACTTTCAGAGCTGGGCTCCTGGCCAGCAGCCGGCGCTCTCCAGTTGCCCAGCTCTGAAGGCAGCGCTGCCGCCAGCAGCAGCGCGGAAGTAAGGGTAGCAGTATCGCAACCTTCCTGCAATAATCTTGTGACCCTGCCCCACAACTCCTTTTTGGGTCAGGACCCCTACAATTACAACACCATGAAATGTCAGATTTAAAAAACTTAAATCATGAAATTTATTATTTTTAAATCCTATGACCATGAAATTGACCAGAATGGACCATGAATTTGGTAGGGCCCTAGTGATAGGGTGTACCAAGTCTACTCTGCCCCCTGCTGGAGGATTTGTCACCCTGGCACCCCTCCTGCTTAGAAAAGCCATTCCGTCTCAGGTACCAACAAGACTGGGTCCTAGAAGGGCTGAGAGGAGGACACAGCCAATCAGGAACCACCAGTTGAAATTAAGAAGGCTTGCCTGCATTACCAAAGGGGAAGTAGTGGATGAAGCTGAGGTAGGAGAGGAAAATCTCAGTCCTAACACAAAGCCCCAGGCCTGCGTCTGGGCCAGGGCCTAACCATCAGACTGCATCTTCACTTAAGTGGTGCAACAGACTGGGTATTTTGTTTTGAAGTTTAAAGGGCCAGGTGGCCAATTCTTTGAGTTTAACTTTAATTTCTTTTTAGAAGAGTACTGAAAACTTGCAGCCTGAGACACCTTGCTCCAGGCGAGCTATCACTCACTTTATGGAACTTAACATTATGGAGTCCTATTCTACTCACATTTCCATCATACATATATTGGCATTTGCTTTAAGGTTGGGAGTTTCAAAAGCACCTAAGGGACTGTGCCCTTGTCTTCCTGTATGGGAACAAACTATATTGGTATAAGTACATTTAAACTAGTATAACTTCACCCACACAAAGGGTTGTACTGCTTTAAATACACTGGTACAGTTAAAGTGATATAATTTGTGTGTAGACAAGAGATGAGACTTTAGCTAGTACTGTCAGTCTAGTCCCTCATTTTCTTAAGCATGGACATTCACCTGTAAAGATCATTTTATTACTTTGTTTTATGCTTCCATAATACATCATAACAATGATTAATAATACTTTGTACTTTATAGTGCTTTTTCATCTGAAAATCTCCTATCCTTTACAAAAGTGAATGTTGTTATTAGAACTGGGCAAAATTTTCAACTGAAATTTGTTGGCAAAAAATGCAGATTCGGTGACACTGAAGTGATTCATGAATTTCTGTTTGTGTCGAAAGAAAGAGGGAAATTCTGAAAAAGTCAATATTTTGTTTCAACATTTGCAAACATTAGCATTTTGACTTTTCAATTTGAAACAACTTCTTGTTTAGAAATGTCCTTCAGTTTTATTATAAAACCCCCACAACTTTTAAAAATGCTCAAGATCAAAATGAAATGTTTGTGTCAGTTAGAATGAAACATTTAATTTGACCTGAAACAAATTTATTATTTATTTATTTTTGAACTGCCAGCAAGCTAAAATATCAGTTTGTTTACCCAGCTTTATTTATTATCTTCATGTTCAAGGTGGGGAAACTTAGGGCTTTTCTACGCACATCAGTTGAATCACACTAAAAGTGTGATGTAAAACCAGTTCAACTTTGTGCATAGCCCATGTCTGAATCCCAGAGAGGTTAAGTGGCTTGCCTAACATCAGACATCAAGTCAGTGGGAGCGTCAGGACTAAAGCACAAAAGTCTCATGCCTTAACCACTGGGCACACTGTCTCAGCAAACTGAAATCCTCTCCCCCGAGAATCTGCTTGACAGATGCATAACAGTTGGAGTTTTTTTCTTTTGCCTGCTTTGGTATTTTAAGCAAAATCCATATAGTTTATTAAGCTTTAAAAATAAAACTTTCCTCAAGAACAGATGAGACAGACCAATTATTCTCATTAGTCAACAAGGGCATAATAAAAAGTAATAGGCTTAAGTTGCAGCTGGGAAAATATAGGTTAAGTATTAAGAAAAACTTTCTAACTATGAGAACAGTTAGGCAGTAGAGCAAGCTGCCAGGGGAGGCTGTGGTATCACTTCAGCTGGAAATATTATCACTAGACACCCATCTATCAAGAGTGATTTAGGACTAATGAAATCTGTCCTGACTCTCCGGAGGGGTTGGAATGAAATGAGCAGAGGTCTCTTCCTAGCTAAATGATTGTATTATAACAAGAAGTTAAGCAATCATTGTCTGTATTGCTACCACAATCCCTTGTAGAATATTGTGCATTACACTTACCTTATGTGGCATGATTGATACCCTAATTTTATGGCAAAGCTGCACTGAATTCAACAACATTACTGGGAATGGTGTGCAATTAGAAGTAAAAGAGGTGTATGAAGGTGCTGAAGCAATGTCTTTAAGGGAGCAAAAAGCGTCATTTTTCAGAGCAGAACTATGCTTTAATATTATAGATTCATAGATTTTAAGACCATAAGTGACCATTGTGATAATAAAAACTGACCTGTATAAAAAAACAACAGAACCTCACCTAGCAATTTCTGCATTAAGCCCATGACTTCTGTTTGAGCTATAGTATATCTTTTTAAAATATACCTAGTTTTAAAAACTAGCAAATCAGTTAATATACAATTGCGATGTGAATTATATTCTTTGATTAACATGTTTACTCCAGATCAATTTGTATGTTAACAAATTAAGGAATTTTGAATTTCTAACACAAATGTGTGTTGTTGAACAGTCAGAGATGTTCTGCAGGTAAATGTTACTATAAAACTGGTGAACCAAATGCATTTTTTTAAATTTAGGCCAAAGGGCAATAAGGTTATTTAAAACTCTCAGATATTTGAGCTTCATACATGTGTCAAAATTGAACTGAGTTGGACAGAAGAAGTACATTGCACTCTGCTATCCTGGACCTGAATTTACTTTTGACTTTTTAAGCACATCTTTGCAGCATTTGCAAAAATGGATAAGCAATTCATGAAATACCAGTTTTATTTCAACACGCACATTGAGATTTACTGAAGAGTATCCACGAGTGGCAGATTTCTTTAGCAATACATCCAAATGATCATGGCTCCCCCCCCCCCCCGAAAATGATTTATTTGTATGTTTTTTATTAGTAAAAAAAAAAAAATCAGAAAAATATATTCTGGTTTCAGTGTTCGGTTTCTTACAGAAACGTATTAACTCTGTGTTTTGCTTTAAGTGGAAAAAAAATCTGTATTTTACTCCAGCCATTTTTTCTGGGCTTATTTATTTTGAGCACATCAGAGCGGTTTGCAGTCGATTACAATAGAGAACAGATTCTTTTTGTATTTGGAAAGTGAGCCATTGTCAGATAAAAGCTTCTTAATGTTTGTCTTCCAGGACCTGCCCCAGATACTGTTTCAGACAAAATCTATCAAATCAGCAAAACCCTTGAAGAATATGCCATTTGCCCCGATCTCAGAGTTGACTTATCTCGGCTGGGAAGACAAGAATTTGATCTGGAGAACAAATTCAAACCTTTCCGAGGTACCAGTCTGTCTTTTTATCCAAGTTGTATGCTAAATCCATAGATTCTGTTTATAAAAAGAGTTGCCACAGAATGACAATAATGTAAGTATTTAAACAGTGCTTAGATTATTCTTCACAGTGCCTTAAAGACATTAATCCTCACAACACCCTGCAGAATAGGTAAGTAAATCTCATCTCTATTTTTACAGATGGGGAAATTGAGGCAAAGAGTCCTGTGGCACCTTATAGACTAACAGACGTATAGGAGCATGAGCTTTTTGCCACTTTTACAGATCCAGACTAACATGGCTACCCCTCTGAAGCTTGAGGCTAAGAGTTGGTGTATTAAAGCCCCAGTGCAGCAAAACACTGAAGCACATGCTTAACTTTAAGTGTGAGCATCCATTCTATTATGGTCAAACACATGCCTAAAGCAATTTGCTAGGTAGGCCCCAATTCAACAATTCTAAGTGCCAGAGGGACACTCTTATAGCCCCAGCTAGAGTGTTGTTTGACTACACTTCCCCCCCTGAAAAGGTTCATGTCTGAGAGCTGTGGCATGCCCTCCACTCTCAGACTCCAAATATGGAGGTGGTTCAGCACCACATGAGATCAGGTCTAAGTGTACTAGTTAATATCTAAGGCATTGATTCGGCACATGCTTAACTTTAAGCATGAGAGTAATCCCAATGGCCAAGTTGGATAGGATGTCCTGTTGTTAAACTGTTCTGTAAGTTATGAAGGAATGAGACATTTGGCTTGTGTATGGGATACCTGTACAGTTCGGACTGATGTGTTAAATAAGTCCCATTCCCTAGATGGGTCTTGGTGTGTCACATACAGCAGCATTTCCCAGTGGGTCATGGGAATGTTTTAGGTGAGCTGCAGGCCTAGTGCACTGGGAAGGCCCCCTGTGTGGGTGTGTTTCAGGGCAAGCCCGCCGGCACCCACACTGCAACAGCAGGTCTTGTCCCCTGGGGCTGGGGCTAGAGCTGGGGCTGCAGTCTGGACATGGCTGCTTGGTGCACAGCATCGCAGTGCCAGTGGTGCCAATTCAGATATTTCTTGGGGGGAAAGGGGAGCAAATTTTCAGATTGGAATTTAAATATACAATAAAAAACAACTTGATGGACAATTTTTGAGTACTTCTACATAGTACTTCAAACCAGTTAGCTTCCCATTGAAAAACCACAGAGCATTAGAAACTACAGAGGAGCGCCACAAGCCCCTGTGCTCACCCCTTTCTGGGACCCCCCTTTCTATACCCTTCCCAGAGCCTCATCTCCCTTACCCCCCTCCCAGCTGGCTTCAGGCTTCCTTGAGGGAAGGAATTTTAGGGTCTTCCTCTCTTCCCCACAGCCAGGCCTGCTCCCCTGTGACCCAGGGACCTCTTGGTACTAATGGGCAGAGGGCACAGTGGTGCATAAGTGTTACTGGGATCCCCGGGGTCTGGGTATCTACATACTAATTCAACAAAGAGTGTCACAAAGTCTCTACTGAAAGCCTGTGTCACATTGATCATCATAATCATTAGAAAATGTATGTAGGGATAATATGGAAGGAGTTATGGATATATACGGAAGGTTATGTTCTTAAGGTCAGTGACTTGGGGCTGGTCACCAAAAGGTGATTAGTCAAGTTTTCTTTCAGGAAAGAGATGTCTGTCTGTCTGGCAATTAGTAAACTGCGTACTATATGGTTCACAGTGGATGCCCATATGCAGTTTGAGCTAAATGCTAATGAGGGGATTGTGACATCTTCCAGAGAGGGAGTTTACAGAAAGAAATAAACCGGCAGGAGGGATCTATAGTGAAAAATATGGATTTTTGGACTATAACTGTAGGTACCACGGCTCACTCTGCATCCTTCACTGAGGGGACAGGCAGGGCTTGTTTTATAGATGGAGGATCACAGCTGGTCTAGCTGTTTGATGCTGGGAGAGAGACTTTGAGTGAGCTACCCTTTATGAGATAGGGAAATGTCTTGCTAGTTAAGTTTAGCTCTCAAAAGCATGTGTGATTTTATTTTATATGTAACCATTTGTTTCCATTAATTCTACTTTCTTTGTCTTAAATCTCTGTTCTTTGTTAAATAAACTTCTTGTTTTTACTATAAACATATCTGAGTGCTGTGTGATCAATGGAGGCATAATTTAAGGTGTAACTGGTGCATAATCTAAGGTGTAACTGGTAAGAGAGGGTGTATTGTTCCCTTTGGAGCTGATCTGGGAATGCTGTGAGTGGTCCAGTGGATCAGGGGTGGGCACTCCAGGGGGATGCTTTGAGGACGCAGGGATTGGTGTGTGCCTATTGCTAACCTGTACAGAGGCCAAGGCAGTGCTTGTGTTACCAGAGGCTAGTGCTGTTGGGAATAGACTCACAACAGGCACAGACAAGGCTTCCTCACCCTAAGGGGAGGTGCTACGGAGGTACCTCACAACCCTGGGTACCCCCGGGGAAGCATCAGAGTGGCATAGTTGGCAGGATCTACACTCTGTTTGCTAGTTAGCTAAGGATCATGCTCCAGGCACTTTATATACCAAATAATACAGATACTGAGAGATTCACTCTTGCAGAGGTTGCAAACAAATAAAGAAAAAGGTTATGGTTTCTTATTTTCAATTTGTTTATTTTGGGCAAAGGAAACAGCACAAAAGAAGGACAACCCCCCTTCTGCCATACAGCCAGTTCTGCTCCCCACCCTTCCTCCTCATCTCCGGGAGGGAGTTGCTATTGTAACAGGCAGTAGTGCATGGACAGGGCATCTTTTCCCCAGTGGTGCCAGCACAGGCTCCGTCTTCCCCCCAGCCCCATGCTGCAGCTCCCTACCTTCCCCACCCCTCCATCACTTGCCACTGCAGAGTGAATGCAGGGCAGGCTTGATTTCAATTGCGCCCCTCCTCTGCACTGGGCTGGGATTAGTGGTGCCAAGGCAGAGGGTGCTGCCTTCGGGTGGTTGGTGCCCCCTTGGCAGAGTGAGGAGAAAGAGCAGGATGCTGGCTTATAATTCCCCTCCCACCCCCCCCAAGTTTGGACCTTAGGAAGTCAGATAAAAAGACAAATTTCAGTTGGTGGGTTGCCTTTTTCTTGGTGTCGTTCTTCTCTAGGATGATCAATACCTTCACAGCTTTAAGACCAGTCCTGTTTAGTTTGATCCATTTTTATTTGTTGATGCCAATGGAAAAAGTTGGCAAAATATATTTTGAATGTAAAACAAAGTTTTTATTTCTAAGTATTGTATTTTATTGAAATACATTCACAGTAATACAGACCCTTAATTCATTCTGGTCCTGCAGTTCTTAAGCAGGCAAAGCTCCATCGATTTACACGGGAGTTGAGGCCTTATCCAAACCCCATTGAAATCAATGGGAGTCTTTCAATTGACTTAAGCAGAATTTGGATCAAGCTTTTGATTCCAAGGTGTTGCATGATCTGGTCTTGTTTAGTGTGTAAATAGATTGTTTAGGTGTCTTTGGAGAGAGGTTAGTGCTCAGTTTGTCCATCTGTCTATGTGATCAACTCTAGTAATTTCTTCTATCTCCCCAGTTGAAATAGTGGATTCAGTGGATATCTACCTCAATCTGCTTCGAACTATCTTTGACTTTAACATGATCAGAAGCTTGCTGACTGGACCCAATCAGCTTAAGATAAGAATTGATGCCATGAACGGAGGTAGGACCGTGAGTCTCTGTGGCAAGAAAAGTTAAAACATACCCAATACTGTAAACTATTTCAGGGTATTTTATTATGATGTAGTGCTAGTATCCGCAAAAAGAAAAGGAGGACTTGTGGCACCTTAGAGACTAACAAATTTATTTGAGCGTAAGCTTTTGTGAGCTACAGCTCACTTCATCGGATGCATGCACTGCTGTAGCTCACGAAAGCTTATGCTCAAATAAATTTTTTTAGTCTCTAAGGTGCCACAAGTCCTCCTTTTCTTTTTGAGGATTTGGTTGATCACTGTAGCAAAAACAGCTTGTGGAATAAAGGTATCACAGTGCATATTAAAAAAGAGAGAACTTATTAAAGGAATGTGCTCTCTTGATAGTAATTGTTCATTACAGTCTATATATAGCATATTTGTTCAGAAATTATAATGTGGTTTATAAATCATTGCATATTGTGTTTAAAATTACAAGATATGGACCTTTTATATAATTGAAGGCTGTGAATAAGAAAGATATACTGTGTGTGTGGAGAGAGAGACTTTTTCATCTTTAGGTGACTAACTCAAATCTGTTGCAGGATTTTAGTGAATTCATCGCCGTCTGAATTTTTATGGGTTCTTTATGCACAGTTATAATAAACATTATGAACATACCATTACAATTTACATTAATTTGTACTCATTGGTCGTCTCAACAGAGGCAGAAGGCTGGATATGGCGACTGAACGACCTTCTTCAGGTCAAGGTGCAGGAAAGTTTACACTGATGTTGTTCAGTAGATATCGAAAACCTTGGGATTTATTTATGATTCCTTTAATGAGCATTAAGCTTAAAAGATTGTTCTCTCTTTATTTAGAAGAGAATGGTGGAGAGGAGCAGTTTGACAGGTGGCTGTGCATCACGCTCACTAGCTAATAAATGCAGTTTGTATTTTTAACAGCTCCATTTTCATTTAAAATTTTTTTCTGGGATTTGATGGTAGGGGATTTGGCATTAATATTTAATAATACTCAAGAGATTTTTTCAATACAAATTCTGTGGCTGAGGAATGGAGTTAGTAAAATTTTAGTTACTGGTTTAGATGGTCAAACTGTGCATAATGAAAGTGCATCAACACCAGGAAAAGGTGGCTTTTTATCACATTAGCTAGGATGTGATGACTAACATGGTAAAATAATGTGGACAAGGCAATTATAATTTTAATGTGTGTTATCAGCTCAAGGTAAACACTCCCAATGTGTTTGTTCCCTTAATATTTACCTTGCGTTGATAACACATGTTAAAACTACAACTGCTTTGTCCAGGATTTTACCATGAGTTTGTTACTATGCATTAGCTAACACTATTTTTTCCTAGTGAAGACAAGGCCGAAGTATGTATGATAACTGTGTGTGGTTGACCAACATAGGGGATAAGAGCCTACTACTGTTACCAGCTAACAGAGTTACTCAGTAGCAAAAGCATGGATGTCTACTATCTGAGCTAACAGAGTTCCCACTGATAACCCTAGAGGGAGGAGGGGGAATTACACAGTGTTCAGTGAAATATTTGTTTTTCTGTCAGTTGGTATGACAGAGATGTGTGTACAATGCGAATGCACTAGTTAAGTCTTCTATTAAGTTTCCATGTTGCTGTGAATATTGGAATTTGAAGTGTGTATGCTCTTGAAAATCGATTGCAAATTCTTTTTGTAGTTATGGGACCCTATGTAAGGAAAGTCCTGTGTGATGAATTAGGAGCTCCTGCAAATTCTGCAATAAACTGTATTCCTCTGGAGGATTTTGGTGGGCAACTTCCTGACCCAAACTTAACATACGCAACTACCCTGCTGGAGGCTATGAAAGGAGGAGAATATGGATTTGGAGCTGCTTTTGATGCTGATGGAGTAAGTATTACAGCCAATCTGGGTTTTGGATCAAGGATGTCATCTTTGCTAGTGCATCTGTTAGACATTGAAGCATAATAGGCCCAATTTTGAGGATGCAGTTATTTGCATGCACAGATGATAGCAGTTGTTCCCACAAATCACGTCCAAATGATATCATTTGTGCCCTCAGTTGATTGCCCCTGCAAATTTGTAGGTCAGGCTGAGGGGACACTAAATATTTGGCCCAATTTGTCTTAGTGTTTGCATAACTTCACAGATAGTCTCCCTCATTTACATATGCTGAATTTTTTCTATCTTAGTAACTGGCAACTGAATGAAGTTAATTTTGGCTGAGATTCTAAAATTCCTTTTGTGCTTCAGCTAAGTGAATTTTCTGCACTTAAGACAGGCACTGAATCACAAGCTCTGTGTTTGTTTTTGTTTTTTAAATCTTGTGTTCTTGCTACCAGCAATATAAACAGCAAAGTATTATAGCAATAACTTGGTGTCCTCTCAAGACAGGTGTATATGTGGTGAGAGAGAGGTGGGGAGGAAAAGGACAAAGAGGCTATTGAGGTACAAAAGCTATATACTGTTGTCAATATTCAGTTGATACAAATTAACTGCCTGTCTCTGGCTTGTACATATCATCAGCAAAAAGATTATCTTACACTAGGGTAGCCACAAGCCCACCAAAATGCCATGTAGGAGACTGGAAACAGGGAGCATCTTGGAATTTTCATTCATTGGGCTGGAAGGAGATGTGGTTTGATAGGGAGATGATAAGCTTGCAGTGATGAGGTACTCCACCTGATTTCTCTCTGACATTTTCTCTTTCTTGTCTCTTCAGGACCGCTATATGATCCTAGGTCAAAATGGTTTCTTTGTGAACCCTTCTGATTCACTGGCAATTATTGCCGCCAATCTTTCTTGCATTCCATATTTCCGTCAGATGGGTGTTCGAGGATTCGGTAGAAGCATGCCTACCAGCACAGCACTGGACAGGTAAGGGAGCAAGTTTTATTTTTATCACCATGGTCTTGACATTAGTTGTGACTTCTTAAATCTTTGATATTGTTGCCCCTTTTCAAGGCAAGCAGCTAGTCAAATTTTGGAGCCCTGGGGTTTTCCAGTTGGAAGTAGAAATTGATGGAGTCTGGTATTCTCTTTGATGCCATCTTGTTCATTTACAAGAAATGTGCAAAATTCTGCTTTTCTGAACGTGGGAGGAACTAATAACAAAAGGAGCAGTATTTTAGTTTATAGCCCCAAGTCTCTTTAGCCAACACACCTTGTCCAAAAACACTCTCTCCAGCTTTTCCCAGGGTCACTTTGTTCTCCTAGGTTACTGCTTGTCTTTTGTGCTTTTTAGCCTCTGCCTCTCTATCTGTTCTTGTCTGCTCTCAGTTTTTGTGTGTTCTCTCTCCCCCACCTACCCACACACCTGCTCTCAATACTAAGTGGAACCCAATGCCCACAAGGTGCTACTTTCTGGGCAAACTCTATTAGACCTTGTTTTAGGTGTGCCCACTTAACTGTCTCTTATAACTATCTTAAATGAAGGGCATCAGTTTGAATGAGGATTTAACACAACCCATAACAAATTTCACCAAGCTCATGTGGCAGCCTACAAAACTGTGAAATCTTGCGATCGGGCTTTCTAAAATTTTTGACAACTTTTGATTGAGGTTTTTAGGGTGAACTTATTGGTAAATAATTGCTTAACTGGAGAAACCAATGCACCTTTTTTTGCATTATGCATGTTCCCTGTGGCCAGTCATCCCTGCTTTTGGTCAGTATCCATGAATTGAGGATCTTTACAAGTTTTCAGTTTGAATAAACAACTAAACCATAACTGAATTACACAATCTCCTGCCTCTGCAAAACGGGATTGGGAATTAGTCTGTTCTTGGATATCTCCAGATATACTTGATACTGCCTGCTTCTGGTTAGACTGGAAATACGGTGATACCCAGAAACTTTGTGGTATTTTGGTGCTTCCATTTCCAAAAGGAAATCAAAAGTATGTAAAAATGAAAACGTATTTTAAGTTATAAAACCTTCACATATCTCAAAATTTTGCTTCAACTTTCAAGTAGCTTGGATAAAATAATAGTCTAGTTTGCCCGTCCTTCATTAGGACGGAAACAGCTCAAAACCTGAGGCAAAGCAGACAGGCAGGAAACAGGAAATAACCATTTGACTTCTTTCTGGATCAACAAGCATTTACCAGTAATTCCTGACCATAATTACTTTAGTCCATTTCCTAATAAATATTGGTTTAAGACTAAACCTGACAGTCCTACTTATAATATTTATAAAAGTTAGAGAGCGAGAGAAAGATGAAGGCCTAATGCAACACTAAGTGAACATTTAAAAAGATTATATATAATCAGTTGTGATATAGCATTTATTATTCCAACCAGCTGGAATCTGAACAGGTGGTGTCCAAGCATATATTATCCTAGGACTGATAAATAAGTGGCTGTCTATACCAAATGGTGTCTAGTCGGGAAACAGTGGTTTTAAAAATGAAATATTAATAGCATGAAAAGATTAATGGCAATCCAAAAACCAAGGATAGTAATACAGTGTGGTCCCTACTCATGGGACTTTTGAAACTGACAACGGCTTTTAAAGTTGACAGTTCACATGCCCTTGATGGTTGATGGATTTTTCAAAGAAGTTTTCCCTACTGTACATAAATGTTGAGCCTTTAAGGAAATTACGCAGTATTTTCAGGTTTCCCCCTCTCCGGCCCCAAACACACACTCCGTGTAGGTCTCTGAAAATTCCCCTTGGTAAAATGGAATCTATCTTTTTCATGAGATACCATGGTTTCATTAAAAGGAAATAGAGAAGAGTCATGTTGGACCTACAGTTCGGGATTTCTAGGACATTTTAAACACATTTGCCCCCCTCCGCCCCCCCGGCTCCGCGCGCATGTAGTAGCTAAATGTATTAGAGGCTATGAACGTACTGAAGTCCACCTCAGCAACACTCTCAGCAGTTGATGTAGATTCTTGACCATGTTTACTTGATCTGTTGGTTTCCAGATGGTCTCAAGTGAGTTACTGCTTAATTTGTTTCAACATTACCAGTGTTATTTTTATGGGGCTAAGGCTTATTTTAAAAAATAGAACAGAGTGGTTGATAATGATGGAAGTTAGTTAAAGATGTACATATTTTCCCAGCCATTCCTACAAATGTTTATTAACATTAGGTCTAGTTACTGCATACATGGTGCATGTGATTTTTGTTTCTTGTTTGTTTGCTTTTGCTTTAGGGTTGTTTTTGTTTTCCTTGAAGATTGAAAGACTACAAGTGCTAGAAGCTGGAGTCCTCTAGTTCTCCACTTTCCATTGTGGCTTAAGACAGTCTAAATTGCTTGATTTCTCTTACTGACTTGCTAGAGCTCTGAGATCCTGTGGTTCAAGTGCGTTGTCCTGATTAATATGTGTGATTTTTTTTTAAAGGGCTACTTTACTGAGTGCACATGTTGAAACCGTTTCTTTAGGACTCCAAGCTAGACTTTAAAGTTGAACTGAGGTTTAATAATAAATGGTCATTACTTTATCTTCTGCAAATCACTTTTTCCATGTGTGTGCTAAGTACGTGCATTGGAACACTGCAAGCAATATCACAAATGCCTTTTCCAAAGAAGAGTTCCCTGAATGAATGGCCAAGCCATCACTGATTCCAAGTTTTACAGTGAAACTTGCCTTAAATGACCACCCAAGTTACAGCAAAAATTGGTTGTATAGAAGAGGCAATCTTTACAATGTTTTAGAAAACTTGTATCTGAAATCTTTGTGCATACTCTGAAGTGGTTTTTAAGACTGGGGTTACTTAGGGAAGTAGTATTTTATGTAGATTTCACTGTGAGCCAGATTCTAATTTCATTTACAACCGTGTACGTTAGGAAAAATTCTGTTGAAGTCAATGGAATTATACCAATGTAAAATGGGTGGAAGAAAGTAGAGAATCAAGCCCTATATGTTTACAGCATGTTTACTTCCATTGTTGTGGGTTAAATGGCTAACTTGAAAGAAAAACTATAGAAACTCACCTATTGTGTAGCCTATGCATGATCATAGAACTGGGAAAGGTGTTGCCTTTTTGAAGGCAAAGTGCATTCCCTGTACAGTCACAAAAGAGAACCTAAAAATCAAATTTGTGCAGTTCTACATGGGAGTAGGGAAAAATATGGTATTTAATATTAATCTTTATTATCTTAGTATGTAAATAGAGAAGAAATTGCCATTCTTAATAAATTAATATTTAAAAGATGTAACTTTTTGTCTATTGTGGGAGATAGACTGTGCAGAATGAACAAATATATCTTTTGTTGGTCCTTTTTATGCCTTTCTGGTGGGCTGGCCTGCCATACTCAGGGGAGAACTCTGATAAAACCATGTTTCGTATTCACTCATAAAACTGTTTGTGTGCTCATGCACGGGAAAGGAAACCAGGAGTAATTAAAGTGTATACCATGAACATTAGTGCTGGCAGAAGATGAGGAAATGATCTCATGCCTGTCCTTAGAAGATGACAACTGTGTCATATGCTGTTAGTTACTATAAGAAATATGAATTGTTAAGGCTTAAGAGTAAAAGCTCCAAGATGGCCTTGTAGGTCTTGGTTAAAATAGGCTTCCACGTCTCTCCTGACACCTCCTTGATCCAGCAAGATCAGAATTCAGTGTCCACAAAGCGAATCTTGCATTTGTAATTAACATACACTTTTCATCTATATTGTTTGGGAGCAGAGGTTCACCACAGAGAATCCTCTGTGCTAAAAATGTGATAGCATAATACATTTTCTGTGAATATTCATCCTATCCCTATAATCAAAATGATGACTAAAACCAGAGCATAACACATGTATTCCCTTATATTCTGCACTGTGACTGTAATTATATATTCATTATCCTACCATCATAAACAAAAGACAGAACTGCAGCACCTCTTAAAATGATAGTCTCTCTCCACCAGTTTTTACAGGATGGGAAGAGAGAAAGGTCTGGGTCTTGGAAATGTTATGCAGAACTGGATATGCATGTCAAGAGAGAATGTGGAGTCAAAAAGATGATAGCCAGGGTCTGTAGCTGGGTCTGGTCGAAGCAGCAAAAGCAGCAGTGGGGAGAGCGTCAAGGTAAAAAAGAGAAGTTAGGAATAAGGGCCTGATTTTACTTCCACTGAAGTTTGTGGCAAAGCTCCCAGTGACTTCAGTGGAATCGGATCCTAAGAAAGGGACTTTCTAAACTGGTCCATGCTACAAAAAAAAGTGTGGATTTTGTTGAGGGGATGAAAGACAATTTGGGCTAATTCTTTTTTCATCCTAAATGGTTTGCCTATCTATACTAATAAGTAATATCTCTTCTTCCTGGTATCAACTAGAATGATTAGGTATAAAATAAAAAGAAAAGGAGTACTTGTGGCACCTTAGAGACTAACCAATTTATTTGAGCATAAGCTTTCGTGAGCTACAGCTCACTTCATCGGAATAATGAAGTAACAAAATGCTCGTTACATTGGCCAAGGAAAAGCACCAGGAGGCCTTGTAGCGCTACCCAGTTGCGCTGAGGATGTGTATGTGTGAATATATGCCTTCAGTTGGCCAACCATCTCTACTGTCCAGTTTATGGGAGGGGCGGAGCCATGGTGCTGTCTCCTCAGAGAGAGAGAGGATCAACTCAGTAGTACCCCTACATGTCTAGAACATGGGGACTGTGATTCTTGACAGCTCTTATGGAGGCAATGCTAACGTGTGATGGTGGGCAGTCCATAGTTCCTCTCTGTAATCACGTCTGTCCTTATGGTGCAGCCACATGAAGACCAGCCACAGTTTAGTGTAAATAATTACCTTTGAAGCATTCCTTTTATTTTATAAAGACCCCTTATGGTATGTGAAACATTCCAAAGGATTTAGAAAGTTAGATGCAGCCATGTTAATGTGTTCTCTTCTGTATGTGGAGCTGTGTTTAATAGTTTTTCACTGTGTAT